AGGAGAAAAATAGACCACTATCTACAACGGGTTAGAACATTAACCGAAGGGTCAACATCAAGAGGAGAAAAATAGACCATAAAAAGAAACGGGAATATGGAGGGAGGATAAGTCAGAGATGGAAGATGCATTTAAATGCACTTCTTTGAGTGCACAGAGGGAAGAATCGCAACCCCCGGTCCATGTGGAGTCCATGGGGGTGTGGACTAATTTTTTGCCTCTGCAGAGATGAAAGGTCCGGTTTAGCGGAGCTGGCTCCGACTTCTTATTGTCCTTCAGAGGCTTGCTACTGGAAGCAGAGTTGAAAGAGGAGGAGGGAACAGGGTCGGAACGAGAGGCGGTGGTGGACTTGTTCGAAGACGTTAGAGGAGGAGGGTTTTGCATGGCAATATTCCGGAGTTTAACTTCCAAGTTCGGACTTTCCAGACTTACCTCGGACCTTGCAACTATTGCATTGTCCTATTCAATTCCGCTATTCTCCCTCATTCCTATTTGGGCTGCTGCTTCTTTTCTATTCAGTCAGCTAGCCATTCCCCACTCCCAACCTCCTTCCTTCCTCCTTGGGCCTTGGCCCTTCATTCCTCCTTTGGGAAACATTATTGAGTCAAACCCTTGACCCTCAGTGTTGTTCCTCTTTCCACCTCCCTTTGTCTCCTTTTGTCCTACCCTTGTTCCTTTTGATTCCGGACCCCTCCTTATATACAATGTACCTAGTAACTTGTAACCTCAGTCCGAAATCGACATGAATTCCCCCAAGAGACTTTCCCTCTGCTAGATCCGAAATTAGGGACCCCTAGGACAACCAGCAATGGCACAGCACTCCGCATGAGTCGCTGAGGCCGAGGTCCTTCCACGCTAAGTCTCCGATTCCACTCCAGAGTCGTCTGAGTCCGCCGGTTCTAACAACAGGAGCATGATCGGAGTCGACGGGAGAGGAGTTTCTAGATTAGAAAAGCTGCAAAACTCAACTGGGTTTCTCACCAATTGACTAGGACCAGGCTGTGAGGGTTCTGGGGACGGTGAGGCAGAGTGTCAGAAACTGTATTCAAGGTGATCACGGGAAGCAGAGCAGAGTATGGTGGCGTGAGTGGTCACTTAGCTAATGAGCTACTCCGTTGCAAGGTGTTGTGGGGGTTGGGACTTTGGCTTCAACGACTTGGCTAGAGCGTTGTGCCATGCGTTCTAGGCTGTCCCGTATTTCACGTTAGTGGGAAAGACCTTGCGGCAACGTTGACTTAAGCTGGGATGAAGTTGAGAGGCGAACTTAAGATGAGAGTACTTGGGGGGGAATTCTAGTCAATATTCGAACTAAGGTACATCGACAGTAAACTACAAGTATAAATACGAAAGGAGAACAGAGAAGGGGCCAGTCAGTCCGGCACAGGACAGGAGCAGGATGGTAAGTATGACAGAACTAAAAGAGCAATGAGGACCAGGGAAATGGAACAGAGGATGGCGAAGTTGGGAGGCAGAATGAATAGGCTGACAATCTAGGTGCCAATATGGTGGCAGATCAGAATGTCAATATACGAATAAATCAAATGTCAATAAAGGAATAACCAAATGTCAATAAGGAGCAGATCAGCAGCGACCATATCAACCGCTAGTTAGTTAAGCAAATAAAATGGTATCGGCCGAATGGCTGAGGAACTCAAGTGGTGGCAGGAGAACGAAGGAGGCGCTGCTATGGGGCCATAGGACGGGAACCACTATCAGTGCCGCTAAGTGATGGGCAATGGTGCGATTAATGGGCGCAAGTAATGGGTGCAAGAATGGGGGCGCAGAAAGTGGTAAGGGTGGGGACTTTGCGGGGCCGTGACACAGAGTTGGGAACTAATGTGCATAGTTGTGAATGAGTGCCGGGGGCTTTTGGTGCCATACAAGACGTGTACTAGTCAGGGAGTAATAAAATACTGTCAGAGACCAGGTCAAGATGAAGGAATGTCTCTGTGGCGGAGGGCTTCAGCCTCAGCAACTTATGCCAGGAGCGCTGTGCCAAGTAACATGTCTGTGCCCTAACTGTTATGGGAATGGACCTAGAATCTTATGGTCCATGACTATAGACAATCAAACCTTAGCCCCTCCAACTTTATTTCTTTGTCAAACCCCATGCCAAGCTTTCCCACTGGGTTTTGGTGCTGGCTGGGGGATTTGTTGAGTTTCAAGGGACTTCCTTTGACCATTATGATTTTTATATTAGATAGTTAGAAGTCATATGATGTATAAGGCAGATGCCGGAACTGTTCTCTTTATCAAATATACAATCTCAGACTATCACCCAGTGATTGTAACTGTCACCCCAGTGTGCCACCACCTGTAAACCTTCCCTGTAACATCTGACTTGGTCAATATTGATGTCTACATCAATATTCTTACAATCCATGAGGAAACCTCAACGACCCGGTGAGTGCTCAGACACCGGACCTCACCCTTCCTGCTCCCACCCCCCACTGGGTGGTTGAGCTCCCTTTCCTACCCTTCCTGTAGTACCCTACCAGGTCCTACAGCCCTTCCTCCCTTCTTGGGAGGGAGAAGTGACTCAAGCAGCCCCAGGATGCTTGGCCACGTACCTGCGGGCCCTAATTCCCACGGTCACTCACTACCGTGCGCTAGTCAACCAACCCGCTTGTCCCAACAATTCACACTACCGGTACACTCCCTTGAGTGCCAAGTAACCGATAGTCGACCACTGGGCTGCTCCCTCACACTACCCACGCTACCGGTACGCTCACATGAGCACCAAGTCACTGCTAGCCAACTGTTAGGTGGCTCCCTCAAGGAGCCCCCATTATACCTGCTGCCGGTACGCTCCTCGGAGTGCCAAGTTACCGTTAGTACACCTGGCCTCCGATCTCCTCCTGCTCTCCCTTCAATGGCTATGCAGCCACCTCTGTCCATGAGCAGAACAGCTCAGGTTGGGTTCCCCGGAACCCATTCCTGTAACACTAACGTAACCAGAACTAAAAGGGGGTAAACTCTAGTCGATTTTATTACTGAGGTGTAACCTATGTACAAGTTGAGTATATATAGTTACAACGAGGGTGGGCCTGTAAATGGTGGGGCTGAGTGGAGCGGAGCTAATGGAGTCAAACATTAGCCAATTGAATATTACCAACAAGTTGGGTTATGGGGTTAGCGGAATGGTAGGCAATAACCCAGAAATGGAAAGGAGGGATAGGCCCAAAGGTGAGCTTGCAGGGAAAGCGAGTGTATTGCCCAGTGGAGGCAGGAGTGCGCTAGCGGATGTCAGAGCTGTCTGGAAGCCTTCAGGGCTCCATACTTAGGGAGGCATAGGTAATAAATTGAAAAGAGGGGTGGTGACCATCGAGGGATACTGAGGTGATTGCAGAATATGGGAGCTCCAAGGTTAGTGAAGAAGGAGCAGAGGTAGTCCAGAGGGATCAGAGGTAGTGGAAGTCGATGGCTGTGGATGGATATGACACATCTGAGGCCCCTTTCAGATGCAGCCCAACCATGGCCCACCAGCATTGTTGCTAGTGACATTCCAGACGGGACTGGTCAGAGTGAGTCTCCAAATCACTTTCATGGGACCATGCTATCTGAACTAATCAAAACTCAAGCTCTACCCCTCAATATGTTGACAGCTGCTGCTGAGGAGCTATACGATCTGATCAACTGGCTTGACTTGAGTGCAACTCCTGAGGCAAGCCCTGCAAAGTGTTGGTCCCCTCACTCAAAAAACTTTACACTGGACCCTGTGCTTGCTTTCACGCTTCAACGTGCTTGTCAGATTTGCTACCCTGATGTTCCGTCTTCAGCCAAACCAGACCACATGTTTGATGTTGACATGTCTTTTGGTTCTAGCAAGTCGCAGGAAACTCCCAAAAATCTGTTCAAAGGGTCATTTAGGAAGTTTGTCTGAGCTATATCCATGAGCAAGGGTGCATGCGAATCACTAATTAAACAAGAGCCAAGCATCACTTCACTATGCCCATATGACTGTGTGGTGTCTTGGAACGAGGCCACCATCAGAGGTTCCTCTCGCATTGATCAACTGCAGGGCATTATGTCAGGGATGTGCATGCTCGCAATGAAGGATGCCCCAGAAACCTAATTGATATCAAAGCTGGGGGACATGCCCATCCCAGCATGCAGTCATATAATGTGGCATCATAACCGACAGCTGCAGATCAGATCAGATCGGAGATGAAGAAGAAAAGAAGTAGAAGCTGATGGAGATATGGGTCATGTGGCAATGCACTACTTACGCTAGCAACCCGAAGGCGTGCCCTGACACATTACCATTCCATTGTCAGCCCATTCCCACAGCAACTCACTGGCAAGTATTCCTCCAATGTCACACAATCTAAGCAAAACATCAGAGTGACTGGTCCATGGACAGCTTCTCCAGCATCCTTGTCGATCCCCAGTCCAGTGGAGAGTGATGACAAAAATCAGTGAGATTATCTGCTGGGCTGCCCTGTCCAATCGCTTTCAGATGCCATCGGTCCCATCCCCAATGGATGGTTTTTGAGCCAAGTATGCACTGTGAGATTTCCTAGCCATGCCTGGATTTTCTTGCTGATTTTTTGTGAATGTCTTTGTCCACCACAGAGGAAAACCGACAATAAAAACCGACAAAAATATCCATTGGAATCCCCTACTTGAGGGCTTTCAGATTCCATTGGTCACATCCCCAATGGATGGGTTTTGAGAGAGGTATGGGGCCGTGAGATTCACTGGCCATGCCTGAATTTTCTTGCTGATTTTTTGCGAATGTCTTTGTTGGCTCTGGTAGAAAACAATGACAAAAATTGGCAAAAATATCCCCTGGGTCCCCCTACTCGAGCACTTTTGGACACCTGTCAGGGCACATACCCTGACTTAGCCTGGACCCGGACCCGCATCTGGACCCACTCCACTTCCCATGCACTTCCTGTGCTGCACGCTCCATGTGCCGCATGATCTGACCCCGGATCCCACCTCATGTGACTTCCGGGTATCCCCGGAAGTTTTCGCCATATTGGGGCCACTGTGGGAAAGTGAGAAGTTAACCTTCTTCTCACTTTCTTACCCACAGTAGGCAAGTGTATCTACTTGCCCCTTTGTTTATATCACTTTCTTACCCACAGTAGCATTGTGCCCTGGGATGGGCTGTTACAGGTCAGGCTCTGGGTTATAGAGAGAGGGGTCATGGGGACCCGGGTTTGTCCCCTGACAACACCATCAGTCCCATCTCCAATGGATGGGTTTTGGAGGATGTATGGGCCATGAGGTTTTCTAGCCATACTCAGATCTCTTCGCTGATTTTCCACAAACGGTATGTGTGATCTGACTGGGAAGATAAGATAATCATTGTGAAATGACACTTATGTACATTCAGTGGTGTGGTTTTCTACCCTTACAACTCTTGATGGTGCTGTCTCTTTTCCCTTCCACTCCAATCTTTTCAAGCACAGTACCAAAATTGTCACTCATCTTCAGTCCATAGTGTTTAAGGAACTCTGCTTCACCCATTCTGCACAGTGGGGAAGTGTTAGTGTTTAGTCACCAAAAAGAGAGGAGAAGGAAGAGACTACAGACTCATCAAATTTCTGGCCAACACAATGGTGCTTGCCATATGTCACTCCATGTGTGCTTGAGTGCTTGCCAGTGTACCATTCCCGCTTCCAGTGCTTCAGTGGCACTCGGAGCTCATTCTCATCCCCATGCAGCCATTGTTTGATGGCATCCTCAAGCATGTGGACTGGGGGAATGGTGGTGTGCTCAGTGCCCGGAGCGGGTTGGCCATCATCATCATGGTGCTCTTGGGGCTGACTGGAGCCTGAAGGAGGGTGGGATAGAGACTGGGCAAGTGGAGAGGAAGGGACAGGGCTGGGGGGAGGAAGGGGGGGAGGAGCACTGGGTAAGGTTGGCTGTGGCCATATTAACTGAGTGGGTCCTCCTAGCTGAACCATTAGGGACGTACAATCCATTACTGTGCAGACATACCAGTAATGTGGTGGTGGAAGGTAACGGGGTGAGGAGGAATAAGATAGCCTATCATGTGCCTGAGTTGATCCAGTGAGACTTGGAATGAAGCAAATCTTTCATCAATGCTTCGGAGCCCATGCCTGAAGTGGTGCATGTGTTCCTCATACCGGCCCATGTGTTCCTCAAAATGGGCCATGTATTCAGCCAGATGGCCAAACTGAGAGCGAGCTTCTTCTGCAGTCATTGCTTTGAGTTGTGACATCGCTCCATTTTGAGACTCTAAGTTGTCAATGTGAACCAGGGCAAGTGAGTCACCATAATTTGTTTCTGTGGTGATCAGCATATCCATAGCATATTTGAGGAGTGTAGATGGCTGGAACATTGTGAGAGCCTTGGGAATGTGGATGAGATATACAGTGTAGACTCACATTTTCTCCAGGTGCCCATCCACCCCACCACTGGCACTGATGAAGTGGCCACCTTCTGAAAACCGGTGCAAGAGCAAACCAGTACTGAAGACCACCACGCCTGAAGCAGTGCGATGTCAGTCTGTCAGTCTCCAGTTGCACTTGCCTTCCATAATAGGCAAGGAGATCATTAACGGTGGTGGTTGAGAGTGTTGAATTCCAGTGAATGTCATGAGAACGGTGAGAGCAGGAGGGAAAGAGGGGATAGTGAGGCTTCAAGGGTTTTCCACTACAATATCGCAGAGAAAGAAACTGAGTCCAGTGCCTCACATGGCAATATGCATCAAGCTCTGGAGTCACATTGGGTCCATCATGCTGGGAAAATGTGTCCATGCCATAGAGGGGATAGATATTGTACCGTGTCCCTATAAACTCGGACTCAGGCCAGCAATAGACTGATGGCCACTGGATTTAATTTACCTTGGCAACCAGACTCATCACTATGGCTCTGTTTTTGCCAGCCCTTGCAGTTCACCAGGGTGACCCACAGATGTGGAAGGCTGTGACTGACTTCCTCATGTCCCCAATCAAGATGCTGAATAAGAATTGAAGTGAGTTCCTCATTCCTATGTCAAAAGATGAAGTATGAATCAAGGGTCGGTACAGCAGAGATGTAGGTACCGAGTCCATAGAGTCCAGCCCAAAGATGTTAGTGTACACAACATGAGGTGGGAGCAGATGTTGTCACGTTGTTTAAGGGTGAAGGACTCGCTGGGAATACTAGGGTCAAGAAAGAGCCTTGCTAATCAGATCTGGAGGACATTGAGCAGCAGTGACAGCCTGAATAGCCTTAATGTCGCTAATCTGGATTGCCCTTGCATGATTCCGGATAGTTCCCTCAGATGTGCACAAATTCTTCACAGATTTGACAAGATCAATGATCAGACTGGATTCACATGGGTTTCCCTGGCACTTTTCAGGATCAGGGTGTGGATGCCAAGTGCCCTCAAATCCTCTAGAGGGGAATCAGAAATGATCACTTTTCACTTTGTAAATTTTATGTCACTACTCACAGTTTCCTGAAGTGCCACTTGAATGCAGAGTGAAGTATGTCTACAGTTGAGACAGACTTGTTCTGATCAGTAGCGCGGAATGTGATGTATGCAGCCAGTAGTTTGGCAGTAATTTCCACAGGTTTGTCGAAAGCAAACGGAGCATCCTTGTGTTGGAAAAGAGATGCCTCCGGATTTGGATCCTCACCCTCCAAGGGGGGGTTACTGTACTTGAGGCAGTTCTCTTCCAACCACTTCTTAGCATTAGTTATCGCTGAGCTATAGTTCCGTTGCGTGGAAGTGGACTGGAGGTGCATATCTATCAATTCCAGTGCAGAAGTGGGGCCTGACCCCAGTTCAGAGTGCGGAGCCAACTTCTTCCGCACATTCGAAGTTGCATGCTTCGGCAGATGACATCCCTTCTTAACTTTGGGCATAGTGGGCACAAGTACTGGGATGGATGAATGGGCCAGCCTCGGCACCGAGTTTCACGTGTCACATCAAAGCACAAGGCCATCGGCAAGGGACACAACACCCAGGGATTGTGTCCGTTAGTTTCTTTCATACCATTGGGGCAGTCCGGAGTCTGACGGGTTTCACGATGCGTCAATTGCCCAAAGAGGGTTGACATTGACAGGCTGGTGATAGGGTGGGCATCCTAGAATGAATCACGCACACACCACACACAGTTACATTACTATCTACATGAAGACTATGGAATGGCCTGATGATGGAGCAGGGGGCACAACACATAGTACAAGTACAATGCGGTGAAAGGGTCTTCTTCGTGCAATGCCACGCATCATCTACACACAAACCTCCTGTGGATACCAGTAATGAACGACCATTGACAATGACATGTTGTAAATAAAGCACACACTTTATAAACAGTAGGGGCATCATCCTGTAGACAAAACCCAACATGCCTGAGCCACGTATCAAGCCCAGGAAAGCATGGATTGAGGTCTGCTCTTGGGACAAGGGCGAGAGAGGCAAAGAGAACCAGTTGGGCTACACAAGACACCGTATTAGTGACGAATATCAACGTGTCATTGCAGCTGACCTCATGACAAGTCCCATGGCTTCACCTCTGACATCTCCAATATTCTCGTTTAATCTAGCAGTCGCGGACTTCTTCAAAGGGGAAGCTGCCTGAACGTGTCTGACTGGCTCAGTACCACGTTGTTTGCTCCACCCAAGGGCACTCCAATGGGTTTTGGAGGCCACGCGTTAACGCGGCCTAGGCTTGCATGTATCTGCCTCCACTGCTTTAGTTAGTTGATGCATCTCGAGAGGGTCTATAGTCTGCGATGGCAAATTCGGGTGTAAGGGGGTAAGACCAACGGCAGAGAAGGAACGATCAATCACAAATGGGGATGTTGGTGGGATGACAGCCAAAGCCGGAGGTGAAATGCATGTAAATGCATGTTCCATGCTCTCAGTATGGCTGTGGTGCTGCTTGGGAAGGCGAGGAGCAAACGCCTTCTTTGGAGTACGTGAGCCATACGAGCTTGGGCGAGAGTTTCGCCGCTGTCGTCTGTGGCACAACTCAGATGGCAAGTGCGTGTAAGTCCTCACAGAATAATCATAAAAGGCCCGAAGGGCAGCAGGTTCTTGAGGAGGTTGAAATGCTGGGGAGGAATATGAGCCTGAACAGCAAGGGCACTCACAAGCCAATGCAAAGCGTGAGAAGTCGGTGTCAGCCCAGTCGTGCTTACTCTGTTGAACGATATCAAAAGCCTCTTTGCCTAAAGCACGATACCGGCGCATAATCTCAGTGCTGCCATCATCGTTATCCCATTCCACAACATCAACTTCAGGCTCGCCTGTTTTGGCGTTCACAATCTCAACCGGCATTGAAGGCACTGGCGACACCAGACTAGACACAGAACTCCAGGATGAGTAGAGAAGCGAGACCAGGAACTTCTTCCATGATAGTCTCGACTCTGGAACCACGAGACACAGACGGTCGTCGATGGCCCTGTCCCCTCACTCTGATCTGATTTCCCGAGGATGAGGAGGCCATACTGGAAGGGCGTGACCACACTTGGTCGAGTCAGGTCAATGCTCGATTGAGAACCTGAATCGCTACAGTCGGTGGTGGGGGGACCTTGTGATTTGACCAGTGCCATGGGCGCGATGCGAACCACTTGAAGTAAGGCGGAAAGCGATGGTTTGGGGATAGAGGGGCAGTGAAGCGAAGGGAGTGTCTCTGAGTGTCTGGACATAGTTATTTCCTACGATGCGAATGGGGAGAAGGTAGTGTCTGGAGCGGCGGTCGTCAATACAATGGTGGTTGGACGAGAACGAGACTCATTTGAGGTCAGGCTTTGATATTTCGCTGTAACTTGGCTGTGGCGGGACGAGAAAAGGTACATGCAGAAACTATACATTCTTCGTTAACGTCAAGGCAACAGAGGAGGCTAGCGACATACCATCCATGGAAACCTCAGAACCCTCCGCGTTCGCAGTCAGAGCGCCAGCTTCAAGGCTTTGCCTCTCGACGAGGAGACCTACGGCTAGAACATCTCACCGTACGTGCCTGGCTCGAATACCATCCGTTGGAGTCGAGCAAAATGGGTCTTTTTGCCGATTGACGGCGGCGGCGACGGTGAGGCGTCAGAAAAGGGCCGTGCGCGCGATTTGCATGTTCCCCCAACCGGACGGAACGGCACCGCACTGCGTTCGAAAGCCCACGAGCGAATCCAACACCATCAGCTTCGTCCAAAACGGCGAGGATGGGATGTTGTGGGTGAGGGAGATACAGCGCGTCCGGGGGGGATGGCTACAGCCCTGAGGAACGGCAGAGATCGATCGTCAGCAAGAGAAAACAAAGAAATGGAGAAAGAGAAAGAGTGCGGCGCACTCACTCGTCTTGTCTTTTTTACTCTCGTGCAGCACCGCTAGGGCTGGGCTGCCGCAGGTACCCCGTCAGCGAGGCGAGGCATGAGCTGGTGAGTGGAGCTGCCGTGGCCGTGCGTTCTGCAACGAGAACGTGACTGTAACGTGACCGCGATGTGGAAGGAAGGGAAGGAAGGGGAGAAAGCCGAATATTCGAACAAATGAACGAAAACGTGGCAGGAGCGCAGGGATTGCACGGTTACATGACATATGGGGAAACACCAACGGAAGCAAAGAAACCGACTTCCCGTTTTTTTCCCTTTGCCCACCACGGCACGGACCGAATGAATCCATCCATCCGTTTCGGGCTCAGGTTTGGATCCGGATCCTCAAATTCCGAGATACAAGTATGATCATCCACAAACGTCACATGATCTTTTTTTTTTTGGAATACAGTCATTTTCCTGCGCGGGTACAACATCCACAGAGACATGGAACAGATAAACACACACAACATCAAAGTAAAGGGTTAAGTGGAGTGAGAGATAAGTGAAAACCATAACTAGGCCATCGTGGAAACGTGCCGAAAGTACTGCAACTTCTCTAGCGCGAAGTGAAGTTCTGGAGCTGCATTTGGCTCTGTCATGAGCGAGATCGGTTCAGGTTCTCGAAGAAGAAACTCCCGCACATGCTCTATGGCGCCAGATGAATGAAGAACCCATGCACAAGCAGCATGCAGGGCAAGGAGACGTGGGTCAGGAGGGGGGACGACCTGACCATCTTCAGTCTTAGCCTCTTTGAATTTGACAATTTTCTGAATCCCGAATGACTTCAGTGCCACATCGCCCCCAGAGTGTTCTGGAGCGTATGTATTATTGGCAATGACGGCACGGTTTTGATCCTAGATAACAGCAAGTCAATCCAAAAACAAGGGTAAAAGGTGGCAAAGAAACGTACTAGAGCTGGCACTAACCACAGGTTGAGGGCGTCAAACTGCTTGTGCGGCGTATCTGATGTTGTGAACACATTCAACGGATTGTCCAGACCATGAATCCCAAGCTCTGTAAAGGAAAACCCTCCAAACCGCTCGATCAATGCCACTGCCTTCTTTGCCCACTGGAACTGAATTAAACAGATTAGGAGATACAGAGACCATGAGGAAAAGCAAGGACCTTAGCCTTTACCCCTTCTGACTGGCCCTCGATGTCCTCCGATAGCGACTTTGTGATAATGTGAGCCACATATGTTTCACCGAGGTCGGGTTTTGTCCGCTCCACATCCATTCCAGTCACGTTGACTTGCTTTCCTCTGAATTCGAGTTGCCTTGGTGCACAACCCACAAAAGACTTATCCAAAAGACCAGTGAAGGCACAGCGATGGTCATCACGAAGCAAGACCTGGCCGAATGCACCGATGAGGGGATAACAACAAGGTCAGTAAAACATACTCACGAGCTGCTTCAGGCTATCATAGGGGGCCCGGCGCCATAGCAGCCAATCTGCGGCCCTTTTCTCTGCTTGCTCGAAGGAGCCTCTGGGACTTTGACCTGGTGACAGTATGGGTGTACGGCCTTTGGGATTGAAAACTAGAGAGCAAGTCAAAAGCTGCTGGAAATGAATAAAAAAGAACTCACACACACGAGTTAGCCCATAAATGTACAAATGGGCGAGCCCAGCCAACATCTCTGCTTCCACCTGGCCCACAGGCTCCAACATCTCTGCTTCCTCCTTGTCTGCACACTCTAACTTTTGTGCCTTGCCGGCACACCCAAGGATCTCACGGGTCAATGCATCACACCCTTGCTTACTAGGTGCCGCAAGCAAACAATATCCAAGGATACGTGCAACCTTGCACGCTGTGAACTGGGCCATGATGTCCTCCGAGTAAGCTTCTTGAAGCTCAGGAACGTGGATACCCCATCCACCCAACTTCTCTAGGGAAAGGCACCGGCTATATGCTTTCCATTGTTCATCGCTTAGCTCTGGCCTTAACTGTTCTGGCGTTCGGGGTAGGGGTTGGGGTTCCATGTTGTTCAGTAACAGCGGCGAAGGGTGTGCTATGTCGTTAGGTGTGAGGGATCTTAATGTCGGCAGAGGCCGGCGATTGGGTGATTTATGAATTGCGGCTGGCTTACGGATCCAAACATTTTGGTCACGAGTTTAAACCATACATTTGTCGGAAAATCCCGTATATCGTTCGAACACCCGGGAAACATTTCATGGTGTTTTATTACAACTATCCAACAGCCGATGAAAATGCATAGGTCAGATGTGCTACCAGTTTATGTGTTATCTGTAGAGAAAACCAAGTTGAGGGCGGCTGGACGAGAATATGGTGGACTGTTATAGACTCTTAATTAGGAAAGTATTGTCACAAAATAGTAAATACATGCTTCGAGGTTGTTCCTCCAACACACCCTCTCAAATGAAGAAGAAAGTAATAGTCTGACATAAATGTATAATGTGGAAATGAAATTCGAAACAACGTTAACAGGAAAGGGATAGGAAAGAAAAGATTGAATGAGAATGAAGCGGTGAAAGAAATGTGGAAGCGGTAAAATCCAATGGATGCGTGGCCAAGGTTGTTAGTCCATTAATCAACAGGGATTTCATGCCTTCCAATTTTGAGTGGATGCCATGCCAGGCAGTCGGTGAAGTGAGCCTTCTCAGCGATCCCGGGTGTTCAACTTGTCCAAAAGTGTGCATGGGGACCAATACAATATTTGAAAGGAGGGATCACCCTCTGAATCCACAGTGTGCTGTGGTAAGGCAGTCGGGGAGTGGCCCCAATGGCCTGCTGGTGCTTGGTGCAAGGTGGGATTGGGTTGCTGCGAGCGCGCTTGGACCGTGGGAAAATGAAAAAATCGTGACGTGGCAAGGAAGGGAAGGGAAATAAGAGTGTTGCATGCCTGTCTGAGGACTTAGAGCAAGGAGAGAAGGGGGGGTGCCAATTACTGCCTTCCAGGACTTCGAAGGGGTGCCAAGTCCGACCTTAAAGATGGGCGCCAGACTGGACTTGCGGGCCCAACACAAAACTTGAATGCCACACACCGGCCTTAACAGTGGGCGCCGGGTTGGACTTTCGAGCCCAAACAAACTTGAATAATTGCCACACACCGGCCTTAATAGTGGGCGCCAGGCTGGACTTCCGTGCCCAAAGACAAACTTGAAGGATGCCACTGTCAGGGCAATAGCCCCGAACCCCGAGCCACATGTAAATTAGATACATATAGTCACGTGGGCAAGCGGGAACCTCCGGGTAACTGCTTACACACCACCGTAAAATACACAAACTTGTATCACTTACAGCCTTGTGTGCTGAGCTACCCAAAGACCTCACACTTTTTTAAGTGTATGAGGTGTGTTTTACAACACAACCCACAACTCTACAATCTTAACATCTGACTCAGAAGCGCCTATGGCACCTAAACACGCCCGCAAGGGCAAGGTCGCATCTGCAGTGACACTAAAAAGAAACGAGCGGTTTATTAAGAAACCGCAATCTCCCATCATGGGAGATTCAAACCAAAAGCCGTTGTCAGACGACGACGAGGATTAACATGATCTGGCATTAGCAACCACCTCAGGGCTGGTCCCTGAAGGTTTTAGAAACTTACGTGGAGTAAGTGCGGGGTAAAATACCCCCAGAACTCCACAACATACTGATCTAACCCAAGCTGGGGAAGATCCCTCACCTCCTCACGAGGTGATCGACTTGCGCGAAAAATGCGTAAGCGCCGAACGATCAGCCCAAAAGCTGATCGGATAGAGTCGCAGGAAACTCCAGGGCCCCACTATCCCCTGGAGTCCCCCCTCACATCCCCAAGTCAAGCCCCAAAGGCAGACAAAGGGAAACAAAGGGAAGAGCCCCTGCATCAGCTATCCGAAAAACTACTGGACTTGTTCCAGGTTCCATCTGAATGGAGGACGGAAAGTGATGATCAACTTCTTCTCAGGCTGAAAGCCCGAGAAGGCGCGAAGATACGCCCTGAGAGCAGGATCTCCCAGAGCGCGGAAGCTCCAAAAGAACTTCCGCTGTTTACACTCCCACACACCATGCCAGACAAGGCAAGGTCACCAACCTTGGAGGAGGTCTCCAAGATAATGAAGAGGAGGCGAACTGAAATGAGGGAGTTCGCTGAGGAAGCCTTACGTAAAAGTAAGGAAAAACCAGCGAACAGACCCCTCTATGAAAGGGAAGCACCCTCCACAACAGCCTCACCTAAACAAAGCGAGCATGGAGTGTTCACTCCAAGAACCCATTCTGGAACCCCCAGAAGCGGAAATGTCAACTGGGGAGAGTCTCTGCTCGCCCAACCAAACTTCCTCCTGGAAAACCAGGAATCGCGCATAATAAACACGATAAACTCGATCCAAAAAAAGATTGAGGAAACGAACCATAATAGTACAGCTCATCTAGAGATAACTCTAGAAAGAAAGGCCAACGCAATCGACACATTGACTGAAAAAATCAGCGAACAAACAGACTTGCTGAAGGAAATAAATTTCTCACAAAAAAGTGAGGAAACAAATAAACACCCCTGGACCACGGTCCAGGACAAATAGAACTCGTGAAAAATTCACGAAAAGAACCACCAGTGAAAGCACACTGGAATATCATCAGCAACTCGACAGAGATGCTAAGGAGATCCTTCTCCCAAGGATAGGAGAAGACGATGCCGAAAGAAGGCATCGTTCAGAGATTAGAAGGAGAATTGGCACATACCAAAGGTTCGGCCAAACGTCCACTTATGACGGACCTCTCGAACAGAGAGGTAACTCATTCACACCCTCTCAAAACAATGAGAGAATACAAATACAACTTCAGGCGAATTTGCCTGAAACCAAAGAAACGCTGCGAGGAAGATCTCCCCCAGCAAAAACCCCCCCAAAGGAGAGATCTCCATTGGATAGCAACCCCGCGAAGGCAGGGGAGCAAGAAGAGTACCTGGAGAAATGGTACAAAAAGGCCATAAGAATGGCTGAAGTGAGAATACTCACTCCCTACCCAGAAGGAGTGAAGCCAGAAGCCCTAAAGAATGGGCCGGCATTCCCTGACAAGAAATGGTCAGGGGAGAACGACATGGAATCATTCTGGCAGTGGTTCACAGAACTACTGGGATTCCTCGCCTCATGAGGATGCAAAGGTCCCCAATTTGACGAAGTCCACCTGGACTGCTTGATTCATGGATTAGGGGGGCCCGCGTTTGACCTCGGAATTAGACTCTGAGACGAAACTCTCCTCAGAGGAGACGAGGGCATGTTCCTCGAAGTTCTCAACATATTGATGAGAACCTTCATCAAAGCCTCCACCACATTGAACGCGACAAAGAAATACCGCAACGTCAAATACGAAGCGGAAAAAGGCCTAAAACAGTTCTACTTAGAACTGTCAAAAGCAGCGTCCCAGATGGTGACGCCGCCAGACCAGGCGTCCTTCAACGCCAGGTTCCTAAACTACATTCCCCTCGAATGGAAGAGGGAAATGATTGCTCATGATAGAATCAGAGCAGACTTCTCCTCAAACGAGGAGATGTTAAAAGCAATATCTTGTGTAGATGAGATAATTGACGGGCTGAAGATGTCTTCAGCCTACAAATCAGGTTACTATACCCGAACAACTACCATGGCAACCACGAGCCGCGGCAGAGCCCTCCCATCAGGAAAGAAGGCGGAAGAGCTGAAACCCAGGGAAAGAGGATACATCCTCGAAAAACTCGAGGAAAACTGACCAAAAGTCAGTTCCAATTTGCAGCAAATGCGGCAAAATAGGGCAAACGAAAGATTGCCCAGGACACAATATAACGAGCGATGAAAAACCAAGGCGCATAGCTGCCATGGAGATCATGAACTCAACGGATGAAGAGTCGAAAGGCTCATCAGATGAGAAACCAGAGAACAACTCTGGTAACTCCGAAGCATCAAGCTTCGAAGTAGAGGACCCATACGAAGGACCTCAATACTCACCCGACTCAGAGGGTGAGGAAGTCAACGTTGGGACCATAAGAATGGGCCCAATGTCAGTCATCGACCACGATGACATAAATTATAAAATCAAACTGGCTGTAGCACACCAGTTAGAAAACACGGCAGACAAAAAAGTTGCCAAAGCCTTGGTGGAAGCACCAAGAAAAGACACCTTGGGGAAATACACCAAAGTACCCAAGGAAAACAAGGACAAAGGGAAGAAGGACCAAAAGTCCATCAAAACCCAGTCCCCCTTGTTTGATGCGAAATTCCGCATCTCAAAAGACGCGGGAAAATACCCCGCAAACAGACCGCTCTCAATGAAGAGAACGCTAACGGCTCACATAAAAATAGCAGGCATAAAAGCCTATGCGCTATTCGATAGTGGAGCTGAAACGGACGCTTTATTGCTGGACTTTGTCCGCGCGGTCCACATCCCAATTCTCCAATTGGAGAACCCAGTCGTCCTTCAAATGGGGACGAAAGGAACAAGATCACAGATCCTGTTCGGAACCAACGTGGACATTGAGATCAACGGCCACGTAGAAAAACACTACTTCGATGTAATTAACATCGACAGATACGACGCCATCTTCGGTGCCCCCTGGTTAAACAAAAACCAGGTAAGCTTGGACTTCCGGTCCCACAAAGTGAGAACGGTGAACAAGGGCAACATAGACACCCTTGGAATAAGCGAAGACCGTGTGACGAGATCACATGGATGGAAAACTCGAGCAAGAGCCCGAGAACAACCAAAAAAGAAGCCCCCCTGACAGGGAGGTGGGATTGAAACACACCTCAGGGTTGTCACGACCTGACATATCCGTCACTTCCCTCTATGCGTCCTAGTGCCACTTGGTCCGTCCCTCCCGCTATCATCCATCCACCCATCTGCCCACCCGTCACCCTCATCCGCACTTCCTCCCTCACGTGCATACCTACCAACCTAGGTTGCCCGCTTCATTGTTGTCCGCCCCCAGCCGGATGGCTTGCTAGACAGCCGGATGGTCTTTTCTCTTTTGTCCGCTTGTGGACTATTGTTCCTCCTTCTGTTTCTTGCTTTCCTTTTGTTGACCAAGTTTGCCGATATTAATTATTTGTTCCTTTCTTCATTCATTAATATCGCGCTTGATCCGCCACTCTTTCCGGGCTGGTGTAA